TAATCTCGTTTGTACTTTTGCCACAGTCTTGTTTTGATACTTTGCCACAGTTTTGTTAACCTTGCTTTGTTACTTTGCTCATAGTTTTGCCACAGCCCTGTTTTTGAACCTGTTTTTGTTACAATAAACCCTGTTTTCTGCATCTCCGCGCCTGAGTCCTCCATCAAGATCCACCTTCCTGACAGTTATCTTTGTTTTTGTATCAGATGGACAGATTCTAGTTATTTGTCTGAGCCCGTTGGATGAGAGGATGAATGCTAATGCTAATGCTAATGCTAATGCTAATCTGTGTTGGTCCAGGCTGCTGGTCGGGGCTCCCTTTGAGTCCACGGGAGATCAGCAGACTGGAGACATTTACAAATGTCCGCTGGACACCAGAGACTCTGAGAACTGCAGCCGACTAAACCTGGGTGAGCAAAAAAAAAAAAACTAAAAAACACTTTTAAATAGCATCTTCAAGGCAGATAACTCTTTTTTACATCTAAATCTGCTATTAATGTTTATAAAAAAAAGATAAAACTGCTGATTTCAAATAATTCTAAAACTAAAATTGTTGGTTTTTTAGAAGTGAAATGACCATTTTCACATTGCTTTCAGCAGAAAAAGGTATTTTATACATTTTTGTTTGTTTAAAAAACTAAAATTTGTTTGTTAGTCTTCTCACTTTTTATGAATGTGGATAACAAAAAACTGAATTCAAAAAGGTTCCTGAACGCAATGTTCGCCTTCCAGCTGTGAACAGAAAATAAGCCCACATCTCTGTTTCTGTTTGTCGTTTTGCAACATCCACCTTTTTATTTTTCAGTTTATTCTTTTCTTTTTACAATGTTCAGCAGCTGTCTCAGTGTCTACTAGTTTCCTTTAAAGACAAATTAGTGAGATAGATAGATAGATAGATAGATAGATAGATAGATAGATAGATAGAGGGGGACTCCCTAATTATATATATTGTCTGAAATTGTGTTCTGTCAAACTGGTCCTATAGTGTGTAAATGTCCCTTGTTATTGGGCATTCAGTACTAAGATCCTCAAATAATACAGAATAATACAGAATACACAATACAATAATACGGAAAAAGGCAAAAAGGCAGAAAAACGGCAGAAAAACAGCAGAATAACAGCAGAAAAAGGCAGAAAAACAGTAGAAAAACAACAGGAACAGGCAGAAAAAGGCAGAAAACAGACTAAAAACTTCCTAAAAACAGTGTGTAAATGTCTTCCTGTTTTTACTGTAAACATCTGGTTCTGGCTCCTGGTTGGTGGGACAGGTGTTGTGAATGAAAC